CACCTGACCTAAACCCCATAGAGAATCTGTGGGGTATTAGCAAGAGGAAGATGAGAGACACCAGACCCAACAATGCCGATGAGCTGAAGGCCACTATCAACGCAACCTGGGCTTCCATAACACCTCAGCAATGCCACAGACTGATCTCCTCCATGCCACACCGCATTGATGCTGTAATTCATGTAAAAGGAGCCCCGACCAAGTATTGGATGCATACTATACTGTACATGGACATACTTTGCTGTAAGCCAACATTTCTGTATTAAAAATCTTTTTTTTTTTTATTAGTCTTATGTAATGTTCTAATTATCTGAGATACTGAATCTTGGGTTTTCAAAATTAAAAGAAAGAAATGCTTGAAATATATCACTGTGTGTAATAAATCTATATAATATATGAGTTTCACTTTTTGAATTGAATCAGTAAAATAAATTAACTTTTTGATGATATTTTAATTTATTGAGATGCACCTGTTGGTCTATATGGAGAACTCTAGCATATTGTTTTTAGTCATCTAAATCAAACCCTAAACCCAATGTGATCTCTTAAAACAGCAAACATTTCTGTGAGTTAAAAATGTATAGTGCCCTTAACAATCATATGTACGTGGAAGAATTTTCAAAAGCTTTGTGCCTTCGCTGTCAGTCTGGAGAGGGGGGGGGGCAGTTTGGTTAAACAGCACAGACAATGCTCAATCCTAGCTGCCCCCACGCCAAAGAGGAATAATCTGGGCACCTGCTTAGCATTGTTTGCATGTTAGCTGACCTCCCAGATAGTGATTTGTTGTGTTCTTTCTTCGAGGGACAGCACCTTGCATTTTACTATATATATATATATATAATGTATTAATCTGCTCTGCACCTGAGGGCTCTGGTCTAGTGTGAACAGGACCCATAGAAAACATTTGTTTTTTGTGTGCCCTTGCAGAAATCTGCAGGTTGCACATAGTGTGAATGGGCCCAAAGAAACCAAGATCAATTAGTTATATTTGTATGTTTAGAAATCCAAACAGCACTGCCATGAGAAAGAACAGGAAATCATTTGATTGGAGCACGAAATTCTTTAAGATGCAAAACTTTTGTTATAAAGTTGACCCTTTAAAGTGACCCTGTCTCCGAGCTGAAAATTCAGATAACATTCCTGAAATGATGTGTAAAAGTACTTACCTTCCCTATTGCCTGCGCAAATGAACACTGCTCTGTTAAAGAGGAATGCTGGAAAACTGACACTTCTGAGGATCTCCTGGTTCCCTTCAAGCTCTTACTGGTGTCTCCTGTGTCCTGTATTATTATTATTTGTTTCTACCTGATTTACATAAACAACAGTTTGCACAGCACTTTACAATATTATTTGAGACAGTATAGTTACAATGCAAGAGCGTTAGGAGGACCCTGCTTGGGAGAGCTTACAATTGTAAAGGGAGGACAAGTGGTACAAAAGGTAATAACTGGGGGATGGGGGGGAGGGAGTTGATGGAGAAAAGTAATAGTTCAGTTATTAGGATGGAGGTGGGTTAGAGACGAGTTTTCAGTAGGGATACACCAATACCCTTTGGTCAAGTACTCACTGATACCGAGTACTGATGCTTTGTGGTGTGATTTGCATCAATACAAAATGACAGTGCTGACCGATCAAAAGCCGTCTAGCCTGTATTGTCATTCCTGCACTGTGAGGAGACAAAGCCACAGGGATCTAAAATCCCCAGCTTTTCCTTCTGTGACAGTATGGGATCTGTGCACAGGGCTACTGTTAGAAACCACAGGGAGCTATACAGCCAACCTTGACAGGGCCCCCAAAGAAAACAAAGTTTACTATGCTTCAGTTATGAATGAACACAGTAACTAATCACTACCAATCACCCATTGTGTTAATTCAGGAAAGAAAGGGCTGGCAAATGTGACATGTTTACTGGACCTTTCCCACACTCTCCATGCTGAAGGATCTTATTGTGTGCTTCCAGCTGCTGGCTGGAAGGAGAGTAGGAAAACTGGTAGCACTGCAAGGGGGGGGGGGGGGGGCACACAGGGGGGCCTGGGCAGCAGGGGGAAATGAATGGTGCACAGGGAGGGTGATGGGTGTGCTGTGGGGGAAATTACTGGAAACAAACCCTCTCTCTGCAGTAGCTGAAAGCCAGCAGGAAGGAGAGGAGCAGGAGCCAGCTTTCAGCTTCTGCAGAAAGAGCCTTTCAAGGGAATGGCTGCAGTAATTGCCCCCCCCCCCCCCCGTGCTGATCACCCTCCCTGCCCACAATCCAATTCACATGGCTGCCTGGGCCCCATACAGAAGGATTGGTGGTACTCCCTTATCCATTACTTCTCTGTGCAGGGAGGTTTCCCAAACCGCTTCTGTGTGAACTCACTATGACAAGCCTGGATTTACACAGAAACGGTGGGGAAAACACATGCGATTTGGACAGGAATTGCATTGTTCAAATCGCATGCTATTCTTTGTGGTGCAATTTGCAGCCATACATTTTGTATAGATGCAAATCGCACCACAAAGTATCCATTTCAGGTATTAGGAGCATTTGTATGAGTACTCATGAAAATACTCAGTATCGGTGCATCACTAGACCCCTTCACCCTCCTGCCTGCACGACTTCACCCCCTCTATCCCAGGGGTATCCAGACACCAGCCTCACCTCTCTGACTCTACAGCTAGGCTGACATCGGTGAGACTCTTACACTCTCTTCAGATCTGCTGTAGTAACCATACAAAGGCACACTGAGGCTGTATGTAGTTTAAATTCTTTACCACAGAACCTTGAACGTTGACATAGCTCTCTTTGGTCTCAGATCCTCACAAAGTTTAATAGGCAGCATGTTGGGGACATTTGATTTGGGCCCTGCAGGAGGATTCTTGTGCCTTCTTCAACAGTGAACGCACTCCTTACTCCCTGTAGCTTCATTACTCCAACTCTTCTTTCCTGGTATAGAGAAGGGAGGAAACGAGGGGTAGACCAGCTCCCAAAACCTTCTTCTAAGTCTGGATTAGACAGCTGGAGCTCTCTCTCTCCATGGGTCTACTGAAAGGGCTCCTGGGGTAACCTGCCCTCCTCACAAGAGGGAAGAACAGCAGCACAGCAGTTTGTTGTTACTTCTTCTTCTTGCTCTCCAGTTTGATCCATCTCCCAACCTGTTCCTTGGGAAGGAGGCACACTAAAGGGGACCACCCCCTACCACCTACTTACATACAGAATGGGACAGGCTCTGGAGAAGTTCTGAAGTTGACTAGGAGCCAGAGAGTAAGAGATCTTTGGAGGTGTGAAGGGGAAAGTTTGGGTGATATTTTGAGATGAGTGATGATATATATCGGTGCAGGATTGTCTTTGTATGGTACTCTTAGTAGCGGTTGGTAAGGTGGATGAGTCTGGAATCAGCATTCATGATAAACTGAAAGGCAATCCTATGTAGAGGTAGATCAATTATGAGGCAGTTGCATTAGTTGAGGCAAGGGGTAACAAAGGAGTGAATTAGTAACTTTGTGGTGCCATTGATTGGTGATGTGGAGACATGGTGGTCAGCAGGAGGAACCAGGGAGAGCTGCGGGGGACCCAGGAGATCCATACTTATGGAAATGTCAGTTTTCCGGGAGATTTCAGTGAATGATTCTTCTTCAATGGAATGGCAAGCAGCAAAAAAAGTAAATATGTACAGTGGGGAAAATAATTATTTCATCTCCTGCATATTTTGTAAATGTGCCCACTTGCAAAGAATTTAAAAGTCTATCATTTTTAACATAGGTGTATTTTAAATTCTAGAGACAGAATATCAACCAAAAATCCAGAAAAAACACATGATACAAATGTAAATTAAGTTGCAGTTCAGTGAGTAAAATAAGTAATTGATCCCCTACCAACCAACAATAATTCTGTCTCCCACAGACTGGCTATGTGCTCATGTGGTACACAGATTAGTCCTATCAATTTACGAAGGTGCTCTTAACGACAGCATGTTATGTGTATAAAAGTTACCTGTCCACAGAATATTTCTTCCATTCAAACCTCACCAAGACCAAATAGCTGTCAAAGGATGTCAGGGACAAAATTGTAGACCTGCACAAGGCTGGAATGGGGCTACAAGACCATCAGCAAGAAGCTTGGTGTGAAGGAGACAACTGTTGTAGTGATTATTCGCAAATGGAAGAAATACAAAATAACCATCAATTGCCTTTGGTCCAGAACTCCATGCAAGATTTCACCTCATGGGGTAAGGGTGATCATGAAAAAAGTGAGGGATCAGCCCAGAACTACAGTGGAGGAGTTTGTGAATGATCTCAAGGTAGTTGGGACCACAGTCACCAAACAAACCATCGGTAACACAATACGCTGCCATAGATTGAAATCCTGCAGCGCCTGCAAGGTCCCCCTCCTCAAGAAGGCACATATACAGGCCCCAAGCGACAGGATTTTGAGAAGATCTGTAAAGAAGAGTGGACCAAAATCCCTCCTGAGATGTGTGCAAACCTGGTTACCAACTACAAGAAATGTCTTACCTCTGTGCTTGCCAACAAGGGTTTCTCCACCAAGTAATAAGTTATGTTTTGCTTGGGGATCAAATACTTATTTTACTCACTGAACTGCAACTCAATTTATAACATTTGTATTGTGTGGTTTTTTTTTGGATTTTGGTTTTCTGGATTTTCTCTATCATTTACAGTACACCTATGATAAAACTTTTAGACCATTACTTTCTTTGTAAGTGGGCAAACTCACAAAATCTGCAGGGAATCAAATAATTATTTCCCCAATGTATGTTCTTTACAGGGAACTGTGATATTTAAATCCTAAAATTAACAACAGGGTCCCTTTAAATTCCTCTTCAAATCACATTGTTGCACGGCACAGTGAAGTAGGTTGGAGCCCCGCCACATTGTCTTGTGTGTCTCCTCAGGTTTTTCAAGCCCTAGTGTTTCTGCTTCCTCATGGGACGTCCTTTAACAGGGAAAGGGATTGCTGTTTCCCTGTGCTGATTGTGTCTTCCTTTCTGTCTCTTTATCAGCCGAGGTCCCCTTATCCATCCCCCCTCCGCCATCACTCCAGCCTGATCTCCACTCCGAGCAACTTTGAGCACGTCTATCACATGACTGTAAACTCTGCTGAAAACTTCCTGTCCTCCGAACCCGCACACCCTGCCTCTTCCTCCTACTCCTCCCCGTCTCTCAGTAGCACCCCTGCCAATCACAGGGTATGCACAGGCGAGCCCTATCGCTGTACTAACCTGTGTGGTCTGCCTGGCTTCTCATTGTCACTGCTCCATGCTTCATGCCATTGTGCCTGCTCTGTCACCCAGCACCCTTTGTCATCAGATCATTCATTTAGAGGGAATCTCCATTATGTCTTCTCTTATGACCACATCACATGGCAGGGCTTGCTGAATTTTTATTTCAGGCCTGTCAAGAGATTTTCATGTCATGTGTTTAATTCATGTATTAAAGTGAACTTGTGCTTTGCTCATGAAGGGGTATAATGGTTCACTTTAAGGCCTTGTTCACATGGGCCTCAGCTTGTCTAAGAGCGATGTGTACAGCAGACTTTCATAAAGCATTTACAAAGCTTTCAGTTAACTTCAAGCAGCTTTTTGAAGACTTTTAAACCATTTTTAGCTCCATTTTTAGAAAAGTTGAAATGTATTTTTTTTTAGGTAGAACTACAGGCAAAACTTTTTTTCCCCATTTTGGATAGAGTAAGAGAAGGTTATAGCCCCTGTCTAATTGTTTTTTCTTTTTTCGTCATCTGTGTCCAATTGGGGAGATTTCCCTTTACTTTCTACCCCATTGCCACAACTTAAAGAGAGAGAGACACCCACCCCTCCTAGGGGATGGAATCCATTGTTGTCAACAGGGTCAGCAGTCCTGGTATCCCTAGTGAAAGAATTCCCCTTAATTCCTGTTCTGGTGACAATCCAAATTTAGTGATTTTCTTTCACGTTTAATCATGGTGATAATGATAAACAGGACAAACAAAGAAGGTGAATCTCCCTAATAGGGGCACAGACAGCAATTTGAGCTGACAGACCGATGTTCTAAACCCTCTCTACTCTATCCAAAATTAAATACAAAGTTTTTCCTTTAGCTATGCTTTAAGTTTGGATGGAGTAGAGCTGAGTTAGGACTTCTGCTATGTTTGTATTGCTGATGTGTAAGGAGGAAAAAGCCAGGCACTTGAGGCCCCTTCACACCTGTGTGTTGCGTTAACGCTCTGTAAAACACACATTTTACTTTTCTTTGCAGTATACACGTTGCTGTGCGTTTACAGTAGTGTGTTACATTGCCGTTTATTTTGACAAGCACCCCAGCACACACTAATTGCAATGTCTTGCAGCACATGTGCATGGTAAGGCACTACAGCACACAGATGTAAATGTTTAAAACCCCTGTAAAATTTTTTTTTTGCCATCTGTGTTTCAAAAATTTGGTTTTACCCTGTCATTCCTGGTGATGAGGACAATTCGAGAGCGTGACTCCCCCTGTCTGGGACACAGAGAGCAATAAAAACCAAACAATAGCTCTAACCCCTCACCATTCTAAATCCAAATCTAAAAGAAAAAGTTTGCCGTTAGTTTACTTTAACAACTCCTTACTCTATCTAAAAGAAAAGAAAAGGTTTTGACTATACATGCACTTTAAAATGTGAAAATATGTATTCCTATGTGATGAGCAGGTCAGAATAATATTAATAATTTTTCTGTGTTCCCGGAGACAATAGAATCATTTGCACTATGACACTTCGTGTGCTGAGTTGGCCATACTGAGGTGCAATATTTTGACTTAAAGCTGAACTTCAGGCTAAACATAAGTAAAATATATGTCTGAGAGCTGTTTAACCTGCCTAAAAATTTGTATTTCTGTCTATCCAGTCCTGTGATTTACACAGCTCTGCCACACAGAACAGTCTTGTCTGGGCGTGCTGGAGACCTGGTTTTTCTGTGCTGCAGTTTAGTAACATGTACAGGTCTTGTCCCTCATTTATCCTTTGACTGGACAGTGAAAGGAGAAGCAGCAGACTGCTGATCGCATCTGTCACTCTGCTGTCTCCTCCTGTTAGCATGTTCCCTGTTGGCAAATGAGCGCTGCCACACAGCTGATTGCCTGCTCCTGCCTCTTTTACCTGTCTTGAGTTCAGCTTTAAAGACATATGAATATTAGTTGAGCCCACAAACCACCGCCAGTTTAATCCGATGAGTGATATTTGTGGCATCTTTTCAGACAGTCCACACTTTTTCCATCATTCAGTTATGTTGCACTCAGAAGTCCCATCACCTACATTGTGCTCATTGTGTTGCGCTGTGATTGAGTGGAGCGTCATTGTGGGGTTTTGCTGTCATCATATTGTCGGAGGGGAAGCTGCAGGCTCTGCTTTTGTTATTGTCTGCAGCTCCTTTGTGCCGCTTTGGTTTGATTTATTAGCTGATATTGGTCTTTTGTCCTCCTGACCTGCTGAGTGGTAAAGCAGACTGACCTTTCTTTCTTCTACCGCATACAGAATCCCCGGAGCCAGGACAGTCGGTCGATGTTCAGTGGTTCTGTCAGTATTCCGTCAATCACCAAGTCGCGCGGCGAGCCCGGCCGGTCAATGAGTGCCAGCAGTGGCCTCGCTGCAAGTAAGTGTTAACTGCCCACAGCAGCCACAGCAGAATATGTTCTCTGCAGCTAATAAGGGGGCCAATCTACTAGCGCTTGGAGAATGCTTCTGGCCTTATTGGCTTCACAATTTTGTTCAGGATTGACTTAAAAAGTCGCAGTGCCTTATCTCATAGTGCCAGTGCCTTCTCTTCAGAAACCTAATGCTTACCATACACGTTATTATTGGATTTTATAATATCTGTACAAGCAAAGCTAAATTCTAGTTCATTTTTTTTTACAAAGCCCAGCACTTGTTAAAAGCTCCTGCACAGCAGTCTGAACAAGTCCCAAATCCAGTTACTATGTATTGCAAAAACCTTATAAAATGAAAGAAAACAAAAAACAAACTTGCGTCTCACATGCTCTCCCTCCCAGGCACTGCAGCTCACAGATGGAGGTTTCAGTAACAAGGCAATGCTGTCCATCCAGCAAACTTGGAGTAGGGATAGGTGTGGCCAGGCGCCAACTGACAAGATAAAGGATTGTGAATCAGCAGGAACAATGCTAAAAGCCACGCCCCCTGCAACATCTTCCCATCCTGCTGTAGTGTAAGCAGGCACAACCTACATGAGAGTGGCGGCTCTGTTCTGAATTCATAAGCAGATCAGCATTGTTGCATAATCCTCACAGGAAGCTGCATTAGGTGGACTCCACTGGCAGGATGTACAGGTATTTGTAGGACTTTGCAGGGGGACTAAGAGAAAACTGTAAATGCAGATGTGCTTTGTGCACAAAGGTTTGCATACTCTGGCAGAAACTGTGAAATGTTGGTATTGATCTTAAAAATATGAATGATCATACCAAAAAACTGTCTTTTATTTAAGGACAGTGATCATATGAATCCATTTTTTATCACATACTGTAGTTGTTTGGCCCTTTTTTAAATCATAATCACCCAAATGGCCATGATCAAAAGTTTACATACCCTGGAATCTTTGGCCTTGATACAGACATACAAGGTGATACACAGATTAAAATGTAAATTAAAGGTTCATTTCCCATATCTATGGCTTCTTAATTTGCAATTAGTGCCTGTGTATAAATAGTGTGTTAGCGTTCATGTGGATGCACTGAGCAGGCTAGATACTGTGCCACGGGGAGCAGAAAAGAACTTTCAAAAAACCTGCATAACAAGGTAATGGAACTTTATAAAGATGGAAAAGGATATAAAAAGATATCCTTGAATATGCCAATCAGTACTGTTCAATTACAATAAAAAGTGGAACATTTTGAGATCACTGGATACTGATCCAAGGTCAGGTAGACCAAGAAAGATTGCAGCCACAAATGCCAGAAGAATTGTTCGGGATACAAAGAAAAACCCATAGGTAATTTCAGAAGAACTACAGGCTGCTCTGGAAAAAATTGTGTGATTGTTTCAAGGAACACAATGCAACAATGATTGAGCCGCATGGTCGAGTTGCCAAAAAGAAGCCTTTACTGCGTCAATGCCATGAAAAAGCCTAGTTATAATATATCCGGCAACACCTTAACACGCCTTACAGCTTCTGGCATACTGTAATCTGGAGTGACAAGGCAAAAATAGAGATTTATGGTCAAAACCATAAGGGCTATGTTTGGAGAGGGGTTAACAAGGCCTATAGTGACAAGAATACCATCCCCACTGTGAAGCATGGTGGTGGCTCACTGATGTTTTGGGTGTGTGTGAACTCTAAAGGTATGGGGAATCTTGTTAAAATTGATGGCAAGGTCAATGAAACATGCTATCAGAAAATACTGACAGACAATTTGCATTCTTCTGCGCATCAGACTCTCTTGGACTTTCCAGCACGACAGTGACCCTAAGCACAAGGCCAAGTTGGCCTTCCAGTGATTTAAGCAGAAAAGGGTGAAGTTTCTGGAGTGGCCATCAGTCTTTTGCTCCTAATATCATCAGGCCACTCTGGGGAGATCTCAAACATGCGGTTCAAGCACAACCACCAAAGACTTTGCATGACCTGGAGGCATTTTGCAAGACAAATGGGCAGCTATACCACCTGCAAGCATTCTGGGTTTCATAGACAACTATTACAAAAGTCTGTACGCTGTCACTGATGGTAAAGGGGGCTATACACAGTATAAGGAACTAAGAGTATGCAGACCTTTGAACAGGGGTCACTTGTTTCATTTGTTTACTTGTTGCCATGCTTTGTTTAATGATTGTGCCATTCTGTAATGGCCTACAGCTGAATATGAATCCCATAAGAAATAAAAGAAATGTGTTTTGCCTGCTCCTCATGTTTTCTTTAAAAATGGTACATAATGTATATTACCAATTCTCCAGGGGAATGCAAACCTTTGAGCACAACTGTAATTATGTGCTGTGGCACATATGTTTTTTTAATAGGAGGCCATAGATCTAGTTTATTATAATAATAAAAAAAAGCCTTCATGGTGGTATGCACCTGGTGTTGTTCCCCACACACTGGCCATATCTGTTCCTCTTCTGGTTTGAATGACTTTCATGGTCATTCAACCACTTCAATACCTGGTTCACCACTGTGAACCTTGGGACCATCTTGTTATAATGAGGTACCAAAGCAGTGAGACTCTGGCCTCTGGTCTATATTAATACTGATCTAATGAGAGATTGTGAGAGCTCAACTATTACATTAAAAGTTCAGCTCTGTGAATTTCTACAAATTTGTAACCCTCTAGATGCTATGTATACTGTTCTCCAACAGAACCAACCTCATTTGTAATGAATTGTCTTCCTCTGCCTCCAGGGTCCTCACAAAATGGTAGTGCGCTACGGCGAGAATTCTCGGGAGGGAGTTACGGAGTGAAACGGCAGCCTATGACGTCGCCGTCTGATGGGTCTCTATCTTCTGGAGGACTTGACCAAGGAAGTGACGCCCCAGCTCGGGAATATGAAAGAGAGGTGAGAGATGAGTTCACACATAAGACTTTTCCATCTTCAAAGTATAACTAAAGGCAAAACTTTTGGATAGAGGAGAGAAAGATTAGAACATCTGTCATGTTATTATTGCTGTTCTGCCCTCACTACACGTGACTGAGGTATAATTAGACAGACAGTAACTCTCCTCCCTCATTGATGCAAGTGCTAGGTCCTCTTTTCAACTTTTATTGCAGGGGAGTTAGAGTAAAACTACAAATGAAAGAAATGACATTCAATCAGTGTATACAATGTACAAAATATACGGTCCTGACACGCTAGTCTAACTAGGAAAAGGGTTTTAAACATACCGGCGATGTTTCCGATAGGCTGACGACAGAACTGCAGCTGAATAAGTGTGGAGTCTTCTGGAGGAGATGTAAGATGGCTGCTAGGAAATGTCTTTAAGACCTCATGGTGAAGACCATAGGATAATTGGAAAACTACAGTGGCTTTTAAGTAACAATATCTGTAACTACAGAAAATAATCTATAAAACTGTAATTATACAAAAGAGCCACTTTCTCCTGTTTACCATTATCCCCAAGAATAAAAATGAAACAAAATCCCATATTTTGAGTTGACTGTAGAAGAGGAACAGAGGGGAAATCCTCCAATGGGGATGTTAGTTCTGATGACAACCAATGACTTAAAGCAGTTTGGAGGGATTTGTTCTCATTTCCTGTTTTGACTATGGGACAGGAAGTGAAGGGAAGTCTCTGCAATAGGGGACAGGAAGAAAAAAACGAAAAAGGGGTTATAACCCTACCCTAGCTACCCAAAATGGAAAAAAAAAAAAAACGTTTTTCCTTTAGTTCTACTTTAAACATAGCTCAGGATTCTAGATCCCTCCTCTCTTTCTAGATTGTCAGAAACATTCTAGACATGTTTTTCCTTTGAAGCAGCACTCTTGTTATGACGCTATATTCTCCTGCTTTGGATCTGAAGCTGGACAGCGCTAACAATGCACATACTGTACGTTTGATATGTTTTCAGCACAAAGATTGAGATGTTACTACATACAGATGTACTCTATTCTATCCTATCCAAAGCTGTGTTGGCAGCCTTCCACTAAATTTTTACATTCCGGGCTGCACACATAATGGGAGGCTGCAGCCGTTGGAGAAGATAAACACAGACATGTGAGCAGGAATGGCACAGCTTAAATATATTGAGGGAGAAGGTCTGGGAGCTGGAACATGTGCTTTAAGTCTTGAAATACATACAGAGAAAACAGGCTCCCTTCAGTATTTTATCTTTACTTGCTGTAGTGCACAAGTCCTCCCCACTCTCGTTTTTTTCAATGACCTGGTGATCTGGGAACATCATGCAGACCCATTTGTAAGATGGGAGGAATTCTCAAACACACCCACTGCAGGTTGCTTCTGATCTACAGACAGTACTAGAAGATTTTTTTAAGAATAAAATCTAAGCTGACATCGGAAGCTCAAATTTGATTGATTATAAAGGAAGCAGAGGTAGGCCAGTTTTTACTTCACATGCTTCAGGAAGCATTCTCCCACTGAACATGTGAGGACCTGTGTGAAATCTGCCTGCAGTGGCTAACAGAGAATTTAGATTAACTTAAAATTGGAGAGGCTCCTTTGTCACTACAGGTAACAGTAGAAATGAAGGGGTCAGTGGGAGGAACCACAGTGCCTAGCAAGGAACACAGTTATCCAATATGAAAGTCAACATCCTCTTCCTTTACAGGAAGCTGCTTCTGTAAATTTGCACATCTGGTGAAAGGGTCACTTTAAAGATCCAGCAAATAAAGGGAAAAGAAGAGAAAATGGTGGGCTGGCGTGAATTTGTCATCTAAACGGGCAATTACCTAGGATTTTATTATATACTTTATATCTACAACATTTTTGCATACAAATAAAAATGTTTTCTTTGCTACTTTGGTGATTTTTTTTTTCTTGTTTACTTAAAACAGGCAACAAACTTTGACTTGGGCAGAAGTACATTTTAAACAGGTGCAGAGCTACTCTTGACGATTAGAGGGGGTAATGCTAGTACCTCTAACTGCGCCTTTCACACACTGTGTGCTGCCTCTCACCGAACACGTCTTTGTAAATTCACATTACTATAATTTAAAGGGTATCTAAAGCCAATAATGATGATGTTAATTTTGGGCAGAGTGCGGATCTATGGAAACCCCTATCAAGTTTTTATTTCTACATCCCACTGGGAACATTTGTCTTCTGTTTGTCCTGGTGACTGTTGTCATTAGGACATTAAATGACAGAAATACTAAATTTTAGTTGCCACTAAAATGAGAAAGGAGGGGAAATATCTCGGTGGTGACATCTGTTCCAGTGACAGTATTCTAAGACAATTTCCCATCACTTTGTAGATAGTTCCTCTTCATGTTGTTTCCGAAGGACAGAAAGTAAAAGGAAATCTAGCAAATGGGACCCAGGCAGCAGAAAGACCAGAAAGGGGTTTTGGCTTTAGATATACTTTATGGCTTGACTGCACTACATCATCTATATGTTAGAATTACACTCAATAATTTGGCATGGGAATCTGCTCAGTGCACACAATCTGGCTGTCCCAGAGCTTCTCTTTTTACTTGAGTATACCTGTTCCTCCTGGTGGTGTGAAACCATCTTGTAGTGAAAACCTGAGTGTACCTGATCTTCCTGGCAGTGTAGAAAGTGCTGGTGGTGGAAACCTAAGTACACCCAGTCCTCTTGGTACTGTAGAACCTTTTGTTAGTGGTAACTTCAGTGCATCTGATCCTCTGGGCAGTGTAGAACCCCCTAGTAGTAGAGACCTGATTACACTTGGTTCTCCTAGCAGTGTAGAAACCCCTAGTAACAGAGACCTGAGTACATTTGGTCCTCCTTTCAGTGTAGAACTCTCTATTAGTGTAGACTGGAGTGTACCTGGTCCTCCTGATGGTGTAGAACCCTTTGGTGTTTTAGAACCCTCTGTTAGCGGGAGCTGAGTACACCTGGTCCTCCTGGTAGTGTAGAATCCTCTAGTAGCATAGACAAGAGTATACCTTGTTCTCTTGATAGTGTAGAACCTTTTGGTGTTGTAGATCCCTCTATTATCAGTAATCTCAGTACATATGTTCCTCCTGGCCATGTGGAACCTTTTGGTAGAAGAGACCTGAGTACACCTGGTCCTCCTGATGGTGTAGAACCCTTTGATGTTGTGGAACCCACTGTTAGTGGTGACCTTAGTACACTCAATCCTCCTGGCAGTTTAGAACCTTTTAGTAGCAGTGACCTGAGTACATCTAGTCCTGGTGTGCAGAACTCTCTGATAGCAGAAACCTGGTATTCTGGGAACATCTAATCCTGCGTTGGTGATACTGCAGGCAACTTATTGCCTGATCACATTACATTTAATTTTGTTCCTTCTTCACTGTAACTGCAAGCTGCATGATCACTTAAAGGCCTTCTGAAAGACTTGCTCAATCTGGCAATTCAACATATCCGTGAAACTTGAAAGTAACTTTGGTGGACTCACATGTCTAAATCCATCACTTATCCAAAAATAAGAGAAATAATTGTTCATATAGGATAGTTAGAGGAGCCAAGCACATTATTTTGTATGCCTTGATAACCAAATTCGCATTCAGAACCACTGGTGTATAATGGTAATAAAGTCTTATATTTTGGAGCCACTTATTCAAAACACTGTAATATTTGGCTGTATATACACTATAAACCAGCAGTTCTGGATAAGCATTTGACAGTTTGGGGGTTAAAGGAATGATTTGCATGGCTCTGCCCATTGTTTGGAAATGAGCGATAATCCCCTTGGAGTTGGAATATTTGATGGAATAAGACCTGTGAATACCTTCTGTTCTAAGAAAGCTTTATTGCACTACACACTGATGCTGTTGGAAGAGTTTTTGATTCCTTTAGACTTTACTGACAATAACCTTAATGGTTATACTTGTTCATGTAGCATCAGAAATTCGCAGATTGGGTTTTGTTGTCTAAAGTTGCTTTTTAATCGCTTCATTTCTTTTTGTGGTCATCAGGACTCGGACTCGCCAAGACATTCGACGGCCTCCAACAGCTCCAACCTCAGCAGCCCACCGAGCCCAGTGTCCCCTCACAAAACCAAGAGCAGTTCCTTAGAAAGTTCGGACCATGTCAGCTGGGACGCATGAACTTCACGCCCCTCACTGCTGCTTAAAAAAAGAGCCACCTAAACTCCAACTTGTCCAGGACTGACGCGGAGGGGCCCCCCGATATCTTACACAGCCCAACAACGCAGCACCGTGATGCCTGGGACTCGTAAGGAGGCAGCTTGTGTTGTGGAACGAACCTTCTAGCTAGTAGAATTGGTTGCTTTTCACACAGTTTACAATGTGGCTTTGTCGCCATAAAATTCATTAGCCACAAGGAAAGGCAGCAACAAGCTCAAAAATGGTGCACACAGGAAACAACCATGTTGGGGGAGAACGGTGGGGAAATGTGGGATGGGAGGTGGGGAAATGTGGGATGGGAGGTGGGGGGGGGGGGATCCAGTGCGGCCCCAGTAGCAGCCCTCAGACTTTGAGGAATCAGCACTGTGCCACCTCTCCCTCTTGCGGGACCTCACGTCAGGTGCGTTACCAGACATTGAATGTTACCCCCGCTGTCCACTCACCCCCTCCCCCACCTTGTGTCATCAGTAACGTATTTTACTATGAAAGAGTTTAATCTAAATAGTACATCGCATATGTATATATAAGGATGATGTATTCCTCTGAGAATAGAGCATATTTAAAAAAAAAAAAAAAAAAAAAAAAGAAAGAAAGAGAGATTCTGTAATTTTTAATGATGGATTGTTTGCGTTCATGATTGCTATTGGATAAACCAGCTTAACAGAACACTTACCATACAATCACACTTTTTATTTTTAAAGTTTGACTCACACGGTCGCTCATAAGTCATTTATACTCATCCACGCCGTATTATCCACATTCGTATCTGCGATAAAGGGAGTACACACTTTCAGCTAGTACGGTGGAAGATGCTGCCAGCTAAGGTTGCCCACTAGAGATCACCCTGGTGGTCCGAGAAATCCTCTTTTTTTTTTTTAGGCAGAGAGCAGCTACTTCATGCTTTGCCTGACAGTTGGTGGGTCCTCCACAAATAAAGTTGACAATGCTCCTTTGAAGTCACCCTGAGAGACATTTTAAAAAATTTTAAAGTCCTTCCTGAGAGTAGTCATCCTTTCTAGGTGTTCTGTGTGCCCCGATCTTAAATTCACTATGTAACCAAGGACTTGACTTTTTTGACTTTGTGAGTAAGCCCTGCCACCTGTCATCTCCTTGTCCAATGACAGCACCCATTTTGGCCAAAGAGGTCCTTTCATTGGAGAGTAGGGTTGATGAATGAGTGGAGCTGAGTTCTGAGAGTAGGCTTAAGTCAAACTGAAGAGACCCTTTTAACAAAGTGGAATTAGAATCATAAGGGCCCACAGAAGAGGCTGCTTGATAAATGTCTCCTATGCGGTCAGCACATACCTTTTTACATGTTCTCCTGCTCTTGTTGTTCCTTAATTATGAACCAGTGGAAACATGTGGAACTCAAAAGGGGGCTGGGGAAAGCACTGCGGTGCGGTGGCTGCAGTTCCCCATGAACTTTACATTTCTCAGGAAATGACCTTTTTGAGTGCTATACCACACAGAACCTTTTAGATCACCCTTGTTTTTTTTTTATTTTTATTTTCTATTATCTGTTGCTTTTACCTGTACACCTTTGCTGTCTGTCAGATCAGCAAGTTGTACAAGAAACTGTATCCCCAGATGATCACTTTTAAGTAACTCCTGTCAGATGAAAGAATGTTCAACTCCACTGTATGTGATCAAGGAGAGAATAATGCAGAGGTAATTGGCAACAAGTAATGATATCCCACTAGGATTCTAATTAGTTGCATTACTTTTATCTAAACTCCAGATGACAGTCCAGGTTGATTTGAAATTGGTCAGCGGCTGGATGTCCTGTACCGCGGTGGAAACAGTGACCTCCACTGGAGAGAAAATGAAAGTGTTTACAAATAAAGGCAAAGTCCAGCCGGTATTGCTGTTTTTGGTGACTGCAGACAGGATGAATTACCTTCTTGCTCTTTAAATATCTGAAACAGAGCTGGGTCATCCACAAGACAACCTAGGAAGGGTCCAAGGGGCCCAATGGATGTCCAGAGTTCCCTGCCACATTCTTCATGCAGTAGACATGGTTACAGTGCAATTGGTCAAAGCTATGCACCTGCCTGTCATTGCACAAGGCAGGTGAAAACTGAAGGGGCCATGACAGTGCAGATGGGGCTACTTCTCTGTGTCTGTTGCAAACCTTATCAATGTCAGTCCTAGGCATGAGGACAGCAAAGCTGCTACCTTGCCAAGGGCCTCATTCTGCCTTAATCCATCTTTTGATCAGAGACGCCATTTGTGAGATCACTTTTGCAAGTTTTCACATTGCAGAGAATGCAGCAAAAGTAATGTGACTACCTTAGATCTTATATTTGGCAGCAGATAATTTGTTCCATCAGCGTCTACTGAAAACAACTGGTTTTGGTTGGACTTACCTTTTAAACCTCTTACTCGGTTGTAACTATAGAATGTTTTTCTTTTGATGCCTAGAAAGCAGTTTTCGGAATGACACAATCCCTTGAAAGAAATTGTGTTGAAATATAGGAAATCTCACAGTGTGTTTTGTACCCTTTTCACGGTTTCCAGTAACACTACAGACACACAAGCAATGCTACAATATTACAAAGTTTGCTTAAAGAATAAGTGCACTTTTAGCACAACAAAAATTAACTAATTTAGTATATTTGGGCAAACCAAACAAATACAACCTTTTTCCTCCTTCCTGCTGTCCTTTCACAACTTCCTGAGAACCCCGTGGTCTGCTAGTTAAGATCCAAGAAAACATCCTTGGCATTTCTTTAGATGTATCCAACACGATCTCCAATCACCCAGCCAACAGTCTGCCTATAGTACTACACCGATTCACGGGCTGTCCCTATTATACTACATACAGGAAGAGCATGGACTTAAAGCGGAGTTCCACTCAAAGTGGAAGCTCCACTTATTTGCCTCCTCCCCCCTCCACTGCCATATTTGGCACCTTTTGGGGAGGAAGGGGGAGCAGGTACCTGTTTTTAACAAGTACCTACTCCCACTTGCGGCTCAGTTCAGCCCCCTCCTCCCTCCCACAGTCTTCTGGGAACGTTCACAGGTCCCAGGAGACTGCCGGACCAATTAGGAGGCTCAGCACAACTCGCGCATGCGCAGTGGGCACCCGGCTGTGAAGCTGCAAGCAGTCACAGCCTGGTGCCCACAGTTGAGATGCCAGCTCCTTCGAGAAGAGGAGAAGGAACGGCACCGGTGAGAAGATCCCTGGACCCTGGGACAGTTTTTGTAGCTGCTGACTTTTAATAAACACAAAAATGGCTGGAACTCCGCTTTAGGATCAAACATTTTTTTGGTCAATTGTAATTTTTTAGTGTTTGCAAATTTTTTTAAATTATTTTATGTCCCTTTTTAAAATATAATGGGGATTTCAAAAAAGCTGCTGCACCAAATTCATGAAGCATGGGCAACACTTTTGTTTCTGACAGCAACACCTGGACCAAATTCAGGTCATTCTAAAATGCACCACTTTTGCATTGCGTCGCACTGAACGCGACATTTCTACATTGTGTCGCATTGAATACGACATTTCTACATTGTGTCACATTGCATGCACCATTCCTACATTGTGTCACATTGCATGCACCATTCCTATATTGAGTCGCATTAAATGCACCAAATTCAAAAGTGGAGCTAATTAGGACCAACTCTATCTTGGCATACAGAGAGAAAAACTGGCTCAGACAGAGTTTGCGAAAGTGTCTCACATTCATTGTAAAGGTGGCGCAGCATGAGCCAAGTTTACGTACTAGACCAGTACATGAATTTGGCACATTCTTCACCACAGTCTTTATGAAATTCAGGGACTGTCTCTCATGCATTCTAAAAGAGGTGAAGAATGAGCCAAATTCATTTACTTTTCTAGGACTTGTACATGAATTTGGCTCATGCTGCCCCACTTTTAGAATGCATGTGAGACACTTTCGCAAAATCTGTCTCTGTACGTCAAAAGAAAATTGGTCTTCATCAGCGCCACTTCTGAATTTGGTGCATTCAATGTGACACATGATAGAAATAACGCATGCAATGCGACACAATGAAAAAGTGGCACATTTTAGAACTGCTTGAATTTGGTGCAGGTGTTGCTGTCAGAACCAAAAGTCTTGCACATGCTTCATGGATTTGGTGCAGTGCAGTAACAAGAGGGATTAACACCAGAAAAGTGGTGCAGTAGCTTTATTGAATTTCCCCCCTAAGTTGTTTTTTTGTTTTTAATGTTTAATTTTTAGTCCTGAACATAAAACTGGCATCCACTGTAGGTGGAATTAATTAAACTCAAAAACTATCATAACCTGAAAAAAAAGCCTCCACTCTCTTGAGAGTTCTTTTGAGAGTGGCTCTAGAGGCCTCCTTCTCGCTCTCCATGTATCAAAGCCAAAGCAAATGGCTGTCAGTGTTCGCCTTTCCAGAAAAAACGTAAAAGGAGAACAAAGGTGAACACTGTATGCCTCCCCCCCCCCAGGTACCCTGCTCTATTTACCTGTGGGGATGCTGAGCTGTCAGTGCCCACAAAGCCGGACCAGCAGTCTGAGGATTTGTAGTCCCTCTTCTCTGTGCAGCACTTCCAGGACCAATCAGAGTGATTCTGACTTGTCAGCACCGTCACAATGAATCATTCTGATTGGTCCTGGAAGTGCTGCACAGAGAAGAGGGAGATTTCAGATCCCCAGACCACTGAACTGGCTCCTTGAGCACTGACAGCTCAGCATTCCTGGAGGTACTGTAAGTACAGTGGGGACCAAGTTGGGGAGAGGTTTATACAGCATTAATTCACCTTTTATATTTTTTCAGTAAAGTGAAACTAACATTTTAACTCTATGGGCGGTAGCGTGTTGGAATGCGCTGTGCAAAAATGCAACATGTCCAATTTTTTTTTTTCTTTCAACGCACACCAACTCAGTACATTGGTGTGAACTGAAGCAATAGGACAAAAATTGCATTGTCTATGCATTGGGACTGTGTGAACGAGGCCTAACATACATCTG